TCACTGAACGACACCCACCCACCCCCTACCGTTAATGAAGCATGTGAGCAATGAGGATACGCTACCACGGTTTCGGTCTTAGCTTTCGGGACTGCATCCCATCGCGTGTGTGTGTTCCTTACGCAGCGCACACAGCATGCGGCCATCCAAACCGGTTGCTGATCTCACCACCATCCAGTTTGGGTTGTCATGCTTTAGTACGCACTCTCTCGCTCACACGTTTTATAGTTTGTATGGATTTGTTGGAATGAAATCGTTATTGCCGTTTAACGAACGAATGGCGTTTTGTATTAATTCCCATTTCATATAGTTGAATGAATAAACCAATGAGATAGGACGGAGAAAAATGTCTTGTTTGTTTACCATTACGCTAAAGTAAATCATGCTGTTGTCTAAGGGAGAGAGAGAGAGAGGGAGAGAGAGATGAAAGGTGTTGTTGTTGTTGTTGTTCAAATAAAACAAGTAACACAATAGGAGCAGAATTGATATTAGCCATCAATTTCGCGTGCTTTCAATCAGCTGTCTACGCACATTAAATAGGTCGAATTTTATAAGGAGAATACCTTTACATAATTACACGGGTTCAGGCAGAAAGAATTGGGTTGTTGAGTCAGTTGGGTCTGGGTGAAAGAGGAGGAGGGGAATGTTAGCTGAGAAACAACTCGGTAATGGAAAATGATTAGCCGTGGAGGAAAGAGAGTTGAACATGGTTACGTAATACGAAAAAGATACAACCAGAAATGAATTCGAACAGACTTAAAAAGTTATCGGAGTAAAAAAAAATGGGTCAATTAAGTAGGTCAAAGAGAGTTACAAAGTAAGGAAATAAGAATGGTGAAGTGTGATCGATGATGTACAGGAACGGCCGAGATGATGGGAACGAAAGGGGAGGGAAATTACTAACTGCATCACAAAGACCCCTTGCACGCATAGATCAGGCTTCAAGCGGCTAATGACAACCGCTTCAGTAAACCTAAGCATCCTTGAGCTTCGAACTATGAGCACAACGCGGAAAGCTTTGCGTTTGCCAATGCAGTGTCCGGTATCCAGCACATGCGTCGTGCCAATGCGCTTGCTGGTTGGAAGTTTTCCTCCTCGAATTGATAAGTTATTCGGAACATGCTCACTAATTCTGGTCGACAGCCGGCGTTCAGTCATTCCGACATACTACGAACCGCAAATACATTAAGAAAGATAAATGCAATTGGAGATGACTGAATCACTGGATCTGTTTATGCTTGACCGAATTAAGGACTTCATTGTCCTGTGAATTAGGATCAGCTTCACGGCAGGATAAGTAGACTCAACTGTGGTGCGAAGTCGACGACCAACCCTGCAATTACATCGTTTTCTTTAAATGGTACACCAATGAAAACTTGTTTCCTTTCGACAGTAGTGTACGTTAGCCTGGGAATGGTAGATGTGCAATATTGCTCTGTAAAAGACAGCTGATGACCGTTAGAGGATAGGGCAGTCGTCAAATCTCCAAGTTAACTTTCTATCACTTCTGAACTACACAGGCGACGAACTCTGTGGAACAGGGTTCTTACCAATACAATCTTGTACCGTAGAGGACAAAAACTTTGGGAATGTAAATACTGGCCCGTCCACGTACACTTGTGATGAATTGAAGTCAGTAATGTACCGTTCTTCAATCTTGTCAGTTGTAGGTCTAGGAATGGTAACGAGCCATTAGTCTCACATTCCAAAGTGAACTTGAAATTGTTGTGCATCCCGTTCAATTTGTTGAACGAAACCACGGCATCTGTTTTGTTTGAAGTGATTACCAGTGCGTCATCGACATAACGACAATAAAATCCAGTGTTTTCTGCCTAAACCCATGTAATTATATATAGGTCCATATATATGGTATTCCCCTTATAAAATTCGACTTATTTAATGTGCGTAGACAGCTGACTGAAGCACACGAAATTGATGGTCAATATCAATTCTGCTCCTATTGTGTTACTTGTTTTATTCAAATGGATTAAAGGGAAAGGATGTTGATGTTGTTGTTGTTGTACTTGCTGTTTGGATTACCTATTGTTTTCCAATGTCAATAGACAAACGAGATACACTCTACACACGAATTGCCAACGCCATATGCATGTTTTGAGTTTAGTGCAATTTGCGGGATCAGTCTACCCCGTTTTGTATCTATTCGTTCCAATCGGAATCCTGAACAATGAATGATCTGTGTATGTTTTTGTGTTCTCTTGGACAAAATCGTCCCGAAAGTGAACACCTAAAAAGTTTGCAAAACAGCCTATCAGAATATTGCTACTTGTGCACAACACGTATCTGCCGGGATTTGCGTTCTCATTCGAATTGACTCTGTATCCGAAGCATAATTTATGAAAGGACCGGTGAAGGAAAGCCTATCTGAACGAATACACCGAGCATTACAGATTAGACGCGTGTGAAAAAAGTGCACATGTTGAATGCAAATGTGTGAATGAACTGACAGAAGACTACCGGTTACATAGTATACCTGACTAGGGGGAGGGGGCGACAATCGCCAAACCGGTCGCACAGATTGGTTTCAGGCTCCGTTTCTTCCCGAGAGTGAATCAGGTAAAGGTACCCACCAAATTTCGTAGCATTACAGATTAGTAGTGCATCAACCTATGCTGAATTGAGCACGTGATATTTGGTTCATTTATTTTTGACATCCGTAGACTTTTCTCATCTGTCTCGGCTGTTCCTACTGCATCAATTTCTCTGTTGAAGAATCAATCGAGTGTGGACATGTGATTGCTTAAGTGAGAGCAACTTATAGTTCATTCCACTACTTCACCGAATGTTGGAGTTTGGAATGAATAAATAAATGTAAAAGACGCGTGACAAGAAAGTCGTTTGATGGTCGCCTAATTTTTCCACTCTTCATTTCAGTCTCAAACCTGAGTGTTGTTAGCATATAGTTTCGACTGGACAGTTCAGGGGTCAGGAGATAAACAAACAACTGATACACAACTTTCTGGTTTCGACACACACACACACACACTTCTCCGGACACCAATAACGATGGACTCACGTATGCAAATATGTGAACATCCCAAGTGTTTGTACAGCAGTGGAGCATAATGCATCGCTACCCCCGTGTTGAAAAATACCTGAATGTATTCACACTTCACTTTTGGAACTCACACATTTCAAAGAAAAACAATTCTTTTACTCATGCACTTTTTATCCTCCGGTTGGAAATCTCTCCGCACTGATCAGTGACCTAAAAGACGTGTTCAAATCGCCGCTCAGCTTTCACAATTCTTTGTACCACATCATTCTCTTTCCATTGATTGGTTTGAAAATCAATTCTCTAAATTTGCCTTCGCGATAACTATCAGAAAACAAAGAGTGAAATAAAAAATTGCACAAAGGCAAGCGTACGAAACGGATGATCAATTAGACGGATACAGAGAAACATGATTCAATTTTTCCCTTGCACCTATTATTTTACTGATATAAATTCGTTTTCTTGGTCTGTGTGTGTGTGTGTGTCTGAGTGCGTGTGTCTGCGTGGGCACGTCTGATTTCTCATGCACTGATCGCGTGTCCATCATTCATCCACAACCCTCCGTATATCCCATTTGTTTTGTCCGATCTTTCATTCATTCATTCAGGCTGATCCATTAGCACAGGCTAAAAATGGCTACACCCCGCTCCATATTGCCGCAGAACGACGCCTGTTAGAGGTGGCCAAACTGGTGATCGCAGCCGGATGTGATACGGAATCGCGAAACGGATTCACTGCTTTGCATTTGGCCAGTCAAGATGGCAGTCCGGAAATGACCAAATTGTTACTCGCTGCCGGTGCACGTGTGAATGCCCGGGCCAAAGTGAGTTGCCGTATTCCGGGGAATGTGAGGCGAGACTGGGTTTGGTGGTGATGGGGGGGGAGGAGGAAGTAAAGGTTGAAGATCTCTCAGNATAAGTTTTTTTTTTTTTTGTAGAGAAAATAAATCACTTTTTGTCACATCTATCAATGGATTCGCACTACTAAACAGATCAAGCTAGGTCGGAACAATTGTTTAGTACCTCGTACGTTTTCAGTTCACTTTGTTCATTGCCCTGTACACAACGAAACTCATCACGGTACTACATATTCATTCTTTCTTGTTCATGGATATACGATTATGATTATGATTATTATGAGCAGAGCCTTCTCCCCTTGTGAAATTCACATTTGTTAAGAACGATCCCAAGTGGAGGCTGTGCTCATTAGGTCTGGACCGTGAGAATAGCAATCATTGTGGATTGGATAAACTATTCAAATTTGAGGTCCCGTGTTAGATCCGCAGTTGAGTCGACGAATTCTCGCTTTGAAAAATATGATTACCAGTTTGTATTTGCCATTCACTTCCCAGGATTCTGTGATTACAATAAAAACAATGAAAAAGATGTATGAGTTATGAACGTTTGAGTAGTAGCGGCAAATCAAATTTACGAATCAGACTAGTCCCAGACTACGATAAATGGTACATGATTAACCTCATGTTCACTCAATCAATGTGTTACTTGTCTGTGGCGTTGCGCTGAATTTTATTTTGTGTGTGTTATTCAATATAGGAGTTTCCTTTCAGTCATCCCGGGATTCGTTCAAATGGATATTGAAAATGCTAAAATGCTAGCGATCAGTATTGATTCATCATATATTTCCTCTTTTTTCTCGAGGAGGGAGGAGGGAGTTAGTGGACAAAAATCTGAGTCACTTGCTCATTAACCAAACAGTTCAGCATTTAGCCACTACTGCATTATCGTGTTTCAACCAATCAAGCTAGGCGCTGAGTGGCGGTAGTCAAAGTTCATTATCAATAGCGATTGAGAGCTGCATCGTACAATACTGGCGTGAAATCAGCCGCTTGGACCATTTCGAGGAACCCAAAAATAAATTGGTGGGCTCATAACCCTTGTTTCAGTCGTTGGTGGTTATGTATTTCAAACAATTCTGTCCAAGCCTTCTCATTTGTGGTTACGACCGCATGATGCATCACTCTCGGAAATTTGTGCGAATCCAAACGCCCATTACATCTCGCCCAATATTGAAACCAATATCAAGTGAAAATATCCAGTGGTACCGGGTTGAAAACTTGACCAACAGGATAGGTATTTGATCATGTGACCATGTGGCAGTTGATGATTGAATCGAAATTTGTACATAACATGCAGTTTGTTTTGAAATTCCCGAGAAATCAATCTTTCTTTTACTGCATTTTCTCATCTGGAAACAATTAGCTGGTTAGATGCTTCCGATCACCGGTGTCATGAAATATGTGAGTGCCCGGATCGTGATCCAATGGAAACGCACATTTACACCACCTTTCTCTCATATTCCGACACACATTGTTTTTTTTTTTATAG